AAGCCAATTGTCTTCATTCCCAAGTTGAAGCGGGACACGGCCATAGGACTTGTTATATGTACTGGGTTCAGCCTCATACTCAAGTGTGCTGCTTCAACTGGATTGGTTTTGCACAGGACCTTGGTTTCCCTGATTCTGTCGGCTATTAATTGCAGACTTTTGTGCAGGAAGTGCTTAGTATAAAGACCATAATGGTTAATACATGGATGAAGGCCAATAATTTATCTATGTATGCTTTCTGGTTGGTGAGATGTATTGTTGAGGCATACTAGCTTGTGACTTCCCTTTTTGATAAGATCTGTTGAACTGTCACTTTTATTTTTAAACCATATTAAATATTCATTGATGGAAATATTTATCTCTTGTTTGTCTAGTGATTTTTGTTCTTTATTTTTTTTCTATCTGTGTCTTATGAATTACTTTTATCTCCAACAATATTCCAAGAGTTTTTGTCTGAAGTAGATTGGTACACTCTAACTTATTCATTTTCTCTTTATGATGAATGTAATGTCATAGCAAATACTATGGTTTAACAAACCTGAGGTGCTACGTACAATTCCTTTTCTTCACAGACATTTTTATTTCCTTCCCGTTCCCCTACTCAGTTGCTTTTTTCAGTAGTGAATTCTAATGTTTGAACCCAAGGCATTATGCATGGTAGTTAAGAATTTTACCACAGGCTTGGACACTAAACTCTACTTAAAAACTCTATTAGTTTTGTGGAAGATTCTTGCTCTGATGGCTGAGCAGGCCTGGAACTTTCAATCTTTCTGTCTCAGCTTTCCAAGCAGAGTAACTACTGGTGTCTGTCACTAAGCCTGGCTTCATTTTTTAAATACCATTTCTAATGTGTGTTGTATTCCTTTTGCCAAAGGGGGAAAAATAACCAATCAACTTTGTTTAAAAAAAATAAAAGACTTATAATGAGCAACCAGAGAAGAAGAGGACAGGCGGTGTGGAGTTGGCTTTTCACTTTTCTATTGATTTCAGTGACATTGTAAATACATAATTTGAAGAAAATGTTTTTTGTCTTATTAAATTTTTATAACTGTGCAGAATATGCTTTCAAACATAAGCCTTTCCCTTGGCAATAGCTATAAGCAAATTTCTAGTGATGTTTAAACATGTGACTATGAAATATTTCTAGCTGCATTTCCTTACCAGTTGGCAATTATTACAATGTCTTCAACATCTATTGAGTAATAAGAGATTTGTCTGGTCGTCCAAATTAGCAGGGAAATGATCACAGGCCAAAAGTAAAAGTTTTAGGTGAGTAGAAGTAACTGAATAAGAGTATCAAATTCAGCCAAATCCATAAAGTGTATGGAGCACAGCCTACATGTTTAATATTAGACATCACTGCTACTAGTCAGGTAGGGATTTCAGAGCACAATTGATTTCATTTCAATGGATTTTCCATCTCACTAGCTGCAATCTCAAATATGTAAATGGTAGCCAAAGCTACATGGAGGCTTCAGAAAGTTCTCTTTCCACCATTGGCAGCTTCTAGCATCTTCCAGTCAAACCTTCTAGATTGCTTGTAATTTTCTCTCTACAGAGCCTAAAGGCTCATCAGCAGCCTAAAGTAAACAAAGTAGATGGAAGGGATTTCTGATGATTTATAGGTTTACTTGTTCAACAATGTTCAGTCTATCTGGTATGCACAGACAGGCCACATGTGGACCCTATGAATCAAAAATGTTATCAGTGGTGCATCACTTGCCCCTGTTAAGAATCAGGTTTAGAAACAAAAGCATATTTAAAAGATTTCATAGCAATTTAAAGGTAGGGATGTAGGAGAGATGGAAAGAAATATGAACCTTCTGCTTTTAATCTGGGAATTTGATATGACTCGCTTATTGAGAATATGAAATTGGTATCTTTTGGTTCTTTCACACACTCGTTTACTGCCAGTATGTAATACGGAGTTGAGAAACAGCTGGATGTCTGTAGGAAGCATCCCAGCAATATCAGGCAACTTCTAATGAAGGCTATTGACACTGCTGACATTTGGCTTAATGTACTGCCAAAAAGGAAATTAAAAAGTACAAGCCATTATCCTAAAGACCATCTGTTTATGAAAATAGTTAACTTTACATCACTTTGTTAAGCATAGAAATGACCCCAGTGTGAAAGATTGAGTATACCTCTCAAATGATCTCAGCAGTTTCGTTACTTGTTAAAATGACCCTTTATCTTTTTCAACGGTGTTATTGACATTAATTAGTCAACTTTAATGCTCTGAGAATCCAAAGCACTAGAGTTCAAGCTATTCTTCAATGCCAGGCACTCCTCTACGTCTTTTCTTTTACATACATCTTGCTAGAACAGACACCAGTGTCATTAGAGGAGCACAGAAAGATGTCATCTTCCTGCCTTCTTTAGCAGTATGGCTGCCTTATGAAAGGGCTTCTCATTGTGAATGCAGTCTTGTGATGGCCTTCCTGAAAGAAAAAAAATTCTTTCTTTTGCTCTTTCGTATTTTGTTTTGTTTCAATTTTATGTGTGTTGATGTGAAGGTGTCAGATCCCTGGCAACTGGAGTTACAGACAGTTGTGAGCTGTTATGTGGGTGCTGGGAATTGAACCCAGTCCTCTGGAAGAACAGTCAGTGCTCTGGTGTGGGAAGTCCATATATATATATATATATATATATATATATATATATGTGTGTGTGTGTGTGTGTGTGTGTGTGTGTGTGTGTGTGTGTGTTGCTTTTATTGGTTAATGAAT